TTTTGTTTTTTTCACTACTTGCTAGAATACATTCGAAGAAAAATATAGCTTAATAATTAGTTTAACCTACTTATTTCATTAATAGGATTTAACAAATTACTTGATTTGATATTGATTATTCTTAATAATTAGTTATTATCATATTATTTGAAATAAGTTTATAAAAAGCATAACTTTCCTATTAGATTCATTTGATTTTCTTTGTTTATTGATATTATAAATATTCCGAATTAAGTTCTTGAGTTTGAAATAAAAATTTAAATATAATAGATATAGATGATATTTTAATTGCATTGAATACTGTTTGAAATATTATTAGTAAATTAATATATAAGATGGAGAGAAAATCATATTAATGGTATTAAGAATATAAAGTAATACAGAAGCAATCTTAGCAAGTTTATACTAAGAAGTAGAGGTAAAATAATAACTAATACAAATAGGAATCTTTCAACAGAATTGATACATAACTTAATTAACTATTGAATGATAAGGGTAATTTAGTCAACATATTACCATCTCAAGTATTATCAGATTTACCAAAAATCAATTCTAATACTTTACTTCAATTTTAAAATGACAATTTTCCATAATAAATAATTTAATAAGTGATTTCCTTAATCAAAAATAAAAATCAAAACCAAAACCAAAAACAAAAAAACAACGAGCAATAAAATCTTAAACCATTTACTTATTAATTAATCTAGTAGAACTCATATTAATAAAATGAAAAATGCTTCATAATTGCATTTAATAAAGATTGTTCAATGTTGTTTGCTGCGTGTAAAAGCGAAATTAAAGTGCTTGAATTTAAATTAGGTATCTTGAAACAAGTTTAACTTTTAAGTGAACATACAGGCCCTGTTTTTACTTTGAATTTCATGAAGAAATCAGTTCAGTTAATATCTGGGAGTGCTGATCTGTAGATAATAATTTGGGAAAGAAATCAAAATACTCATGGCTGTGTTAATACAAATTGAAGGGACATTCTAATAATATCTATTGTTTAATAGTAATTGATAATGAAAAATCTTATTGTATCTGGTAGTAGTGATAAGAAAATTAAATTCTGGTAGAAGGAGAATCAATGGGCGTTTTCATAGACAATCACTGATCTTAATTCAACTGTATATGCATTAAGTTTGAATGAATCATAAAATAAATTGATTTCTTGTGTTTGGGATTATTTAATAATGGTAATGGAATAATCAGAATAGAATAAATATTGGACTGTAATATAAAAGATTGCTGTTAAGATAAAAGGATGTCGATTATGCTTTATAGATAATAATACATTCGCATTCTAACCATTTGAGAAAGAGTATGTGCATATTTATGAGATGAGTAATACTAATAAATAGTTTACCAAGACAAAAGATATTCCTGTAGAAGGTGGTTAGGATTATAACTTCTTTCCCTAATAATTTATAAAATCAAAATGCATGCTAGTAAATAAGAATGGTTCCAATGTGAGTTTAATAAGGATCAAATCAAATTTTGAGTTTATAATCCAGTAATCTATTGACTTTAGAACTCATTTCGCATTTGGATATATGACTGATGATGGGTAGTATTTGGTGACTTGGGATGATAATTCAAAAGAATTAGATCAGATAATATTAAGAATTATGAGCTAAATGTTTATTTAATATCTATCATATATTTGTTTTAAATTCCTAACTTAGCACTAAATTTCAAATAGATGTAAAGATTGTAATAATTACCTACCTGGTTACAATAATCATTTTTTTATGTTTCTAAATTTAATTACTTTCATAATAAATTGTATGATATAATAGTAATTATTTATTAATTAATTATTCAAAAAGACAATGGTTTTTTGAGTTAAGACCAAGAGCACACATATATACAAATAGAATTTTGTAAGTCAAAAATAGTAGTTTCAAAGAGCAGGAATAGAACTTGTATATCTAATATTGAGTTTACTCTTTGTGCATATTAGATTCACAATATTCTCTTACAAATTTCGAATGAAAAAATGATGAATAAACTTTAGCTGTGTTAAGTCTTATTTTTTCTTAAAGTAGTTGAATTAGATATGATTTACATTTCCAATACAGAATTTTAAGAAAGAGTATATCAAAATATCTAAATTTTATTTTTTAATAATAAATAAAACTTCTAAATGAAAGCTATTAATCTTTATGTAAAAATGATTTACTTTTCAAATTAAATAATCAAATGAAAATATATAAAAGAATAATATAAATTATTCTTAATAGATTCACAAGAATATAAATCATAATTTTACATTTGAAGATTATAGTGAAATTCAAATTAGTCCTAATAACTTTTCATTTTACAAATTTCCTTATTCCTTGTTCAAATATTTTTTAATCTATTTATATACTATGATTAGTGATGAAAAAGCTAAGATGTTTGGTAAAGATTTTCAAAGAAGAATTATCTTATGAGTGAAAGGTTACATAATAATTCAATTCAAAGAAAGTTGAAGCAAGACACCTATCTTATTTTGCTTCTTCTACATCTAAGTTATATCATCTGAAAGTAAGATAAAACGATTTATTAATATGAAGACTTTATCAATGAAAATAAATTATTCGTAAGTTAAAACAAAATAATTTATTACTTTATTCAAAGTAGTTTGAACATCAAAGAACTTGAAATATTTCTAACATATGAGTTTTATATTGTGTAAGTAATATTAAAATTGCATCTTAATGCAATCTTATTTAAGACGAGTAAATAAAGAAAATAACCTTAGAAATCATAATCTATACATTGAAGTGAGTAATACAAATGTTACAATGATGTAAAATTAAAGTTAAATTAAGTCAGGGATATAGTATATGACTAACTCACGAGATAATTATTAGTAAACTTATCAAGGTACAAGTAATTAGGAACTATGATTATGATTGCTAGGCATTCAAAAAAAGCTGTATGAGGAATTTTTTTTTGCTTTAAAATCCAATAGAAGCTGATGATTAAAGCAATATAGAACATAAAATTTGTAGCTAATAGGAAATTCATTAGGTGTTTAGTTTCGCATTTGATAACAGTTGAATATTTTAATACACTACTTAAATAAATTTGGATGATATTTTTTATGCTTTGTTATATATTTTAATGATCAGATATTTGAAAGATCTTAAATAAAGTCACTTATGAAATCTAGCATGAAGTACAAATTTCAATATTTTGGGAAATATATACAAGCAATAACTGATTCAGTTGCAAAATATC